TTCTCTTTCTCTTTTTCTCTATTTTTTTCATTCATATCGAGGTGGATCGAGTAGCTGAGGTATGAACAATTGATAGAGTTGAAGAAGAAAGAGTTAAAATAATTTATGACTTATATTAAACATATATTTCTTATATCTTGTAACTTTGTAAATGTTTGTAAGTTTGTAAGTTTTATAGTTTAAGAAAATATTTAATTAATATTAAATTTTAATAAGGATTACTTTTATTTTAATTGCAAAATAAAATACTTATTATAAAATGTAGTATATTATTGAAAAATACATTTTTATTTTGCTTAATAAATATTGTATTACAATTAATAAATAAACATATTGTATTATAAATTAATATTGTATTATAATTGTGTTTTCCTTTATTAATAAATTATTAAGTATATAAATATATATACATTATTATTAATTTATTAATTTTTGTTACTTATATTTATGTATAGCATATATTTCATTATTATTTGCTCTCTCTCTAATATACATTTACATTATATTATATATTATTTTACAAATCTTGCAACTTTTTTATTTTTTACTGTATATTACATTAATAACAATTTATTTTTATAATAATAACAACATAATTTCTATTAAAATTCGTTTCTTTTAGATTTAGAAATAAGTGGGAAAGAGAAAAAAAACAAAGCAAGGAGAAAAAAGGAGAAGGAAGTTCAGATGGCGGTACTGGATTTACTCGCTGACTTCGCGCATGCGCACTCATTTTAGGCTTCATAAACATCAAAGGTGCCGACACAGAGTTGCGCTACTGTATATACTGTGGCGCGATTGTGACGTTGCGTTTCTTCGAGTTGTCGCTGCGCAGCTTTGGTGTCATTCACCGCTTTTACAACACCTGCCGCTCCACCGGCCAGTGAACCGATAACTCCAAAAAGCGGTAACAATGGCAAGATACCACCACGTTTCGCTACCGGGAGCAGTCGCTTTTTTACTTTTTTTTTCATTTTTTGCTTCACCATTCCCATGCCCAATTTTGTCTTTGCTTTCATTGTCGCCCAAACAACGGTAGCAGCGGTTCTCTCTCGAGAGTCGAGTCCTTAGCGATGATACGTTTCCGCGCTCTATTGGCGAGAACGTGATCGGCGACGTGTCAGTCCGCTAGTTTGTCGCTACGCGAGTACGCAATGTCGTGATCGCGGCACGCCGTGTCCAGCGGATTGATTCCTCGATCCCCTCGCTCGAGCCGTTTCCGCAGATGAGTTCCCGGACCGCAGAATTGATACCCGGGTATGTGCAGTTCGAACGGAAGCGCGTTTATTGCGCGATTCATGAATTGCATAAAACGCAATCTTTACCATATGGCGCGGGTCAGTCGATGTGATCGCCTTGTTGATTGTAATGCTTGAGACACCGACGATAACCTTGCACTTCCGGATCCTCCGTTAAATGTTCAGAAAGTTTACGCCACAGTTGCGACGTACCGACCAAATTCTAGCAAAAGAATCACTTTTGGTATGAATTGCAACTTCTCAGCCGTCAAAAGTAAAATATCGTCTGCTAGTACGAAAAACATTTTTCCAACTGAAGAATGTTCGAGCCGCGCGCACCTATAAATAGCTGGTACCCGTCGAACGTCAACCGGTAAAAATAAAGTTTCTCCAACAACCGTACACGATTCGTGTGAAAAACATAGACGATAAGATGCGGGTGGGAGAGGCTTGTGCATCCAGACACGGTCAAATGCTGCCAAACACGATACGCGGTATCATTTGCAGCCCCTCGAATTGTGGTAAAACAAACGTAATGTTGAATCTGTTAGAAAGTCCGCACGGTGTGTGCTTTGAAAACGTGTATAAGTACTCAAAATCATTACATCAGCCGAAATATCAGTATCTCGAAGGATTGTTTGGACTGATTGATGATATCAGTTACTTTACATTCTCGGGTAATTGTACTGTGATATCTCCGAGCAAGGCGCTATCAAATTCTATATTTATCTTTGATGACATAGCCTGCGATAAGCAGGATGCGATACGGGAATACTTTGCAATGGATCGTCATTCCAAAGTCGATTGTTTCTATCTGTGTCAAACGTACGCGAAGATACCTAAATATCTTGTACGCTACAACGTGAACCTGTTGATCTTATTTAAGCAGGATGGTACCAACCTTAAACATATCTAGAACGAACATGTAAATACGAACATGACGTATGAAGATTTCAGTACATTGTGTCGCGCATGTTGGCAACACAAGTACGGCTTCCTTGTGATAGACAAGGATAGTGCGCTTGACGATGGACAATGCAGACGTGGTTTCAACGAGTTTGCGATACTACAGAGTGGTTAGTTGTTCTCGAAACGTTGATGATGACGCTCGACACGAAAGACATCGAAACGGGAAAGGTTAGCGAAGAAGATTGCTCGTACGAGCGAATCGACCCGCAAAAAGCATCGGGCGTTGGAGACTGGAAGGATGGTGGAGGAGGCAGATTTGGAGAAGCATTTTAAACCAATCGTCGAACCGTTGAAACAAATCGCCGAGAAAATTGTACTTTGTTTGTTAGTTTCGAAACTTCCTCCCTGCAAAAAGACAAGAGCGACAAATCATTTTTTTTAAATCGCTCCAGGAATGTTCCAAACTTTAACCAGCTCGAAAAATTGCATTTTTTATGGTTTTTTTTCAATTTTCCGTACTTTTCCCGCTGTCTAGAGGAAAACAAACTTTACCACGTGATTCTACGAAATGTATGAAATCTATAAGAAACCATTTGTAGTTTTGGTTCCACACCATGGGCCAAAATCGACCTATATTTAACATCCTCCTTTGCAACGTTGCAAAAGCGAATTACAGATCTGCGGGTTTACATCAATGAGGATATACCCAAAACCATCAGAAAAATTGCTGCGGAAATAATGAATCAGATGAAGCAAATGATTAATCAAGAGAATAAAGATCTTCATAGTGTTTAAAAAAATCATATTATGCATTTTCATGAAATAATAAAGAACGAACTGAAAGAATTGAAATAAAAAACGATATTAGTTTGAAGAAAAGGTTGCTCGTGAATGAACTCCACGCACCAGCGAGAAGAAACTTTAAACGTAGATCTGTTGTTGTAAAAGGATACGATGACTTGGTGGCAAGCTGACGTAGTCGAGATGAGACTGTACTCGTGATTTAACAGCAGCTACAAGTACACTTTAACCGTCATCGATGTGTTGGGTAAACACGCATGGGCCATTCCGCTAAAGACCACAGGTGGAATCGAAGCGGCCGAGGCGTTTTCCACGATATTTCGAGATTACAAAAAAACTCCGAAAAATTTGCAAACCGACCCAGAAAAAAAATTTTACAACGGAGATTTTCGGAAACTTGTCGAGAAACATGACATCAGTCATTACTCGACACACTTAATTATGAAGGCCTCGGTCGGCCATGGAACGATTCAACCGCACGCTAAAGAACGAGATGTGGAAAATTTTTACGCTTAATGGATCGTATAGATGAATCGATGATTTACCGCGATTAGTCTTGGAATACAATAATCGTAAACATCGAACTATCGATGTGCGACCAATCGATGTCACTCCCGCTATCGCAAAGAGACTTTTGTCCATGGTGTACAATAGAATAAAGATTGCCGCGCCAGCGAAATTTAAGGTGGGCAGTAGTATAGCTATGGGGGTTCTAACCCATGGGATCTGAGGGGGTGCCGGCGGGTGAAGGGGGGAAGAGGTTGAGGGGGAGGGGGTAATGACGTCATCGTTTTGGAGGGGAAGGGGGTAATGACGTCATCGTTTTGGAGAGGAGGGGGTAATGACGTCATCGTTTTGGAGGGGAGGGGGTAAATTTGGAGTGGAGGGGGTGACGAGGGAGGTGCGGGGGAGAGGGGAAGGTATCGGATTACAGGGGGAAGAGGTTGAGGGGAGGGGGTAAT